TAAATAATGAAAAAGAAATATTAAAAGTGTACATAGATGGACTACTTACTACTAAATTAAGTTTCAGAGACAAATATTTTTGAATTTCGAGAACTAGTGATAGCATATTGTTGCACAGACTCAGATCAGTCAGTAAGTCAGATGCAACGTAGAACTTCGTACGTAAGTACATCAGTTCATGTCGCCATACCACATCAGCACAGAGATGTAATTGTCAATTCAAATCCAATAGTAGAAGATGTAGTGAAGGTATTTGAAGTCATCGGAGAGGTTAGGATTAGAAGATATTTTTCAAGAAGTATGGTTAAATGAGAAAAGTTTAGAAAGTCAAAACTAGGGGTGTTGAAGAATCCAGAAGATTAGGATTTGAGAGAACACAAAGAATAAATGCACCGGCGCCATTGCGAACGATTTTGAGCCATGTCATTCAAGGTCTCTAACCATCGATTATTATCATCTCGTTGACCCCAACCAGGTAGTCGACAATTACCGACATGGCTAAGTCCACTCGTCAATGACTTCATGGATTTCTGCCATGTTTTGATTTGGCCGCCACTAGCTTTCTTCCAACCTATTCCTACACTACAAAACAAAGCTCGTCGAGTCAGTCGATGGTTAGGCATACGCAACACATGTCACAACCACCTCAACTGATGAAGTTTCATTACTTCATCTATTGATCTGCCATTCTTACCTAGCACCCGATTCCTAATAACAGCGTTTCTCACTCGGGTGTCCCAGGATATACGAGCAATGCTTCGAAGACACCTATGATCGAAAAATTGCACAGACTAAAGTAAAGTACATGAAGAGGAGTTCGAATCTGTGACTTATTATTGATTGAAATATCAACGATTTATTTACTGAGTCTTTTATTTATTAAATCAGTATATTTTGAATTGCTATTTCCTGTATATAAGGGTTCTCTGTTTACTATTTTAGCAAAATAAAAGGTCCATAAACTTTTAACAATATTTAAAGCACTCGCTTATCGTATATGATTTTTTTCCTATAAACCATATTCACAAGTGTAGAAATTATCTCAAATTCAATTCTTCAAAACTAAGTGAACTGGTAATAATTAGTGAAAGATACTGTTTTTACAAAAAAATAAAGCAGTCAGTAAATGCACTTACTTCTCCAGAAGTAAGTGAGCGAGGATTTAGGACAGCAACAACACTACCTTCAGGTTCTTTCCACAATTTCTCATGACAGTTACCAAATAAAAACAGTTTTAAACACCCTGATGAAGATCCAGGACCGATATTTTCTAGATCACTTAGACACCAGACTGAATAAATACGATCATTACGAGAGCGACGTGGAGGTAATTTGGATCCAATGACACCAACCACAACGGCTTCACTGGTAAAAGATTTTTTAGCGTTACCGACAAATTGATGATTACGATGACGCTGAATATACTGAGGTAGAGTGAGAACCTCACGATCAGAGGTTCTGCTGGACCAAAGTTCAGAGGAAATACGTGGCCGACTAGAACGAGATTAAACAAAGTGAAATATACTTCATCATCATAAGCTACTGCTTATATCAGTTGTGCAAAGTCACATATGAATAAATACCAATAATGAAAAATATATCTGTTGCATCAAAATTAACAAAATGTGTACTCTTTAGTTCTTTTTATCCGAATGTATAAGCGATTTCAACCATACAATCGTATCTTAATATTTATTATATTGATAACTTATGAAAATTTCAAATCTGAACTAAAGTGAAACTGAACTTTGACTAATTTCAGTATTCGAAAGGTCAATTGATTTTTTAAAGCTTAAAAATATTAAGAAAACAACTAGCTGTAACGTACCATTCGTTATATCGAAACAGTATTCAAACTGTAAAATGTTATTATAATTGAGTAATTTGTGAATGTACAAATGGAAAGAAATATGTTATTTATGGAGAACTCAGTAGAAGAGAATGGGTGGCCAAACCAAAACATGGCACAAATCCATGAAGTCACTGACAAGTGAACTGAATTATGTTGGTGGATACAGGATACTTGGTTGGGGTCCGCGAGACGAAAGTCGCCGATGGTTAGAGACCTTGAACGACATGGCTAAGAATCGTTTGCAATGGTGCAGGTGCATCCACTCTTTGTGTTTTCTCAAATCCTAATTTTCGGAATTCCTCATCATCTCTATCTTTCTCTTTCTAAAGTTATCTCACTGAACTACACTTCTTGAATAAAATCTTAGACCCTTAATATTTTCCATTACCAGTAAATCTTCTACTATCTCCACCACTATGGGATTCAAACTGACAGTGGCGTCTTTATGCTAATGCGATATGGCAACCTGAACTGATGTACGTACATAAGAAGTTCTACGTTGTAACTGACTGACAGTAAAAGAGAAAGTAACTTCCACAAGTGCTAAATTGTTAAACGAACATTTCGATGTCAATGAGAAATGAGAAAAATGATCACTCTGCTATTTTCTACTCAAATCAAACTATTTTTTTTAAAAATAACATTTACGAGTGAAACCCAAATGCAATGAAAAAAGGTAAGGTGTATAAAGAATATGAATGAAGTCTATTAGAGTATTACCAAATGTAAACTAAGTGGCATTTTGTTCATACTTGATGCTTGTCAAAAACACAAATTCACCATTATGATGACAAAAAAATCAGAAAATTTTAGAAACGATTTTATTTCAAGATGATATTAGATGAAATAAATAGGAGCTGGTTGTTTATTGCCACTGTAAAACTTTTATTGAAATTAGTGCAAAAATACTTTGAAGTTAAAAATCTATGAAAATCATTTTTAATTATTAAAAATTACAAGTTCGAAGCAATTAAGACATACTTGTGACTGTTAATACCAACCGGAAAAAAAATTCCATGAACACTTACTAAACTCTAAGTTTTGTAGGGATTGCAAACCAACAATCTTTATCAATCGAAGTTGATTGATTAGTACAATTTGTAACGGGTGTTATAGCAGTCGGTTTAGTTGAAACAACAGGGTTAGGAGTGAATGAAGAAGCGTTCAGTGCAGAAACTAGTAAAATAAACAACAAAATAAAATAAATCAATGAGTTAATAAGTTATCTAATAAGTAATATCATGACTATACACACATTTGTAAAGGAATGTAGTAGAAACATATCTATTGGGTTCGTCACTAAGTATGCTTGAGGCTATTACGAGTTTACCTTAGTCGATAAACGCGAACGAGACTTTTACCAGCGTCCAGGTAGGCTACCTTGAATCCCCAAATAGAGTAAAAAGGCTTTGTAAGCGTAGAAAGTATATTCTACAAACACCCAGCAATCAAAATACCATCAAGTGCACAACTCTCGTTTATTTATACATCATAGAGACGTCCTTGGGACAGTCACAAAAATAGCACACTAAAATACACAGCAGCCAATCACAGCCACGGATTTCCCTGGTGGAAATTTAGATCTCAAGGTCAACTGATCAGCCCATGCTGGCAAACGTGAAAACATTTATCAAGCGAATTTTGGGGATCTAACATCCCCAACAATATCATTGTTGCATCTGCACAAAACAGCTCATCATTAAAAGACATTGATAATAAATAATAAAAAATGATGACATTGTCAAGTTACTTGTTGAAAATGAGAAAGAAAATCAAAACAAAACTATTGGAAATGTGCAATCTTCAATCCCAATGTTGTAGAGTAGATTATTATATAGATTAGGTTGAAATTGGGTTACACTAAATTATTTAGTGTACAAATTGTTCATGGGATTTCAATGCATTTTTACAATGAATTTTATATTGACGATAAATACCTAGTGTGAAATATTCTAATCATTTTTTTAAATTGACATTTAATTGAGAAACTTATGTTATTTTGATCGATTACACTGGATTAACATCAAAAAGCCTCATTTACCAAAATTGATGTTTTAACTCTGGTAAATGGGGTTAGGACGAAGAAACAAATAAAAGTAGTCTCGTTTCTAGTATGGAAGCTACAGTAGTGGATTGTTAGTACAGTGAGCTTTAAAAACATAAGATCAGTTAGATGAACGATAATTTCACCAACAGAAAGTCATATAGACTAACTACATGAATGACAGATATAAAATATTATTAACTTGATTAACTATTATTATGTAGTGGATAAAATAACTCTGAACAAGGATCACTCCGTAGGATCCTCTTAAGGTTATTAGACAATTGTATTGAATTAATAGAATACTGGAGAATTGCAACTTTCTAGTAGACATTCAATTAAATATAAAATTAAGGATTTTGAAAATTCATCAAACATAACCAAATTATGGTTGAGAAAATTTTTAGCTCAGATGGATAACTCTGGTGGTGTGTGTCCTTCTCTGAACTGGATCTTTTGGTTGTGGAGCTTTCATTGTTCTTTTGAACAACAAAAAGTTGTTGTTGTTGTCCCAATGTATCAATTTAATAGTGACTATTTATGATATCCAACTGAATTAAGATTAGTTTCTTTTGTTGATCACCCCATAAAATTACTTAAAAACCTAATTGATATATTAATATAATACTAACTGATGGTTGCGCAAACGTAGGCTTTTTCATGAACATCACATATCACAATCAAAACGGTATTACAACTGAATTCTTCCAAAGAAAACTAATTTTCTTTTTATAAGCTTATTTGTTACACAAATTCATCAGTATACACAACAAACAATATTACACACTACTCTTGATTGTCAGTAGAAGTATATCTGTAAATTTATGGTAATGAAGGGTAGTAAATTTTAAAAACAAACCAACCAACCAACCAACTAATTACACTTATTCAATATTAAACACTTTTTAATAACCATATCCATTTGTTCTATTCAAGTTGATACTGTACAACTTTACTAACTACTTTCAGTCAATTCAAATTGACTAGACCAAAGTGGTATTGAAGGAGAACTACAGAAGGAATAAAATCAGTGAAAAAAAAATAAATATAAGGAGTTAAAATATCAAAAGAATACGATACATTTAGTCTTCGTTAAATATATATCTAAGTACAGGTGTGAATTTACACCAATTCTTCTTTCCTACAACAGCACAACATAAAATAATTCAATAAAAATGATTATAAACTACGAGTTATTAAAAGACAGGATAAGGCAGAATCGATTTTTTATCATGTTATATCCTTGATGAATAATTTATAAGAATTATTCATCTATTCTCCTTGATAACTTTGAATAAACGTAGAACAAATTGATTGGAAAAATAAAATGAATTGATCAAATATCAAGGCCTTTTATTACCTTTAAACAAACGAAATTTACAATTAATAATACCTGTAAGAAATTAAATGAAAAAGCATTTGAATCTCTAAACAAATTTTCAGTGCATGTTCATTATTCACTAAAATGGCTGTAAGAATACAATTTAAGTGAAATTTACACGATAAGCTCTGTAAAACATGGTCATGTATTGTAAACATTAAAAGATAAAAACTCAACAAGTTGAAAAAAATTATGTTACTTAAAACTCACTTGCTTTTTGACGTCGTAAAGCACAAGCTGCCAAAGCGGTGCTAACCGAATCATTATTATTGTTACATTTATTAACATTAGGCAATGGTGTAGAATAATTCTTTTCTATTAACTGCTCCTCTAGTTGAATAATATTATTAACACGACGTTCAATTAGTTTATCTTTTTCTAAATGCTGTTTAACTGATAAACTTTTTTGAATACTAGCTCCATTTTCTGATAGTTCATAATTATTTTCATCTATTTATGTATAAAAGAAGACAAGAATAGATTTCTAAAATAATAGATGGGCATGATTTATTATAAAACGGACTGACTTTTAAAAATGATGTATATTATTAGCACCTTAGTAAAGTGTACTTCTCAGATCAGCTTGGTTATTACAGGTGTGTTGGTTGACGTTGAATGAAGCTTGTAGTTTCTTAGCATATTTATAAATTTTAGTAATAAGTCGTCTTCATAGGTTTTTATTAATTTTCCACGATAAAAGAACTCCAGCTATGATACAAAAGCTAAGCAAAGCTTACTACTTTGAGATTAAGAAAACATTCTGCTAATTCAAAATAACACTTCAGTCGAGCTGTTGCTTAGTGTTTACTATTGGCTGGCGGTAAGATGGAACTATACGAATACAAAGACAGGTTATTGTTAAGCAAGCATGAAATTCTTATGATGTAGTTATAGAGTAAATCATACTTACACAGTACCAAAACTAAATAAGTCATAAGTCAACTGACAAACCTTCATTGGTTTGTTTTTTTTTGATATTTTTAAATCATTGCCAGCAACATTTTAAACAAATTTAATTCACTCATTAACCTGGTGACGTGAATACGAGGTATATTCTAAGCGTAAGTGCAAGTGATACTACTCGGTTAACTAAACCAAAGTAGTCGGAGCCGGGTTTGATCCTAGAATTAGAGATGATCAAAAGTCGATCATCTTAATCACTAGTCAACATTCGATAGACAGCTAATAAATAATGCACTACTTTTGAAATGTAGAGGCAGTAAACTATGCAAGTGATTCTATGTGCTTAAGAAGAGTGTGTTGTTTACATACTTCGACTGGTAGTGATTTTCTTCCTAAAGAGATTCATAGTTACGTGTATAGTAGCTTTTTAATATATATATTATTTTGAATTAAAAAGTAATTTTCTACAGAAAATAGTAATGATATACACTAACATTTACAAAATAAACTAACCGTCTTCAATTCCCTGTAATTCATTCAAGTCATATTCATCACTATCATCATTATTATTATTACTATTATCGTCACTTAAATTAGCTTCACCGAACAGTTCATGCACCATTGAATTGGTTTTCTTTTCATTCAATGACACATTGGAAGATACTGAGCCAAACAACTCGCTGACACCAATATCTAATTTAAGTAAAGAAAGTTGTAAAGTGAACTACATCAACAGAAGACTTAGGATGTAGTTGGTATTTGAAAATTTAAATGTCAGGTGGTATTTTTTTAAAAAACAATGCATAAGTACTACATAACTTAATCTGCATTAACAACTCCAAATACTTACGGATTGCAGGCGGTATTCAGTTAGAGGTGAGAATCAGAAAAAATTTACACATTCGAACTGGCTTTCGAGTAACCACGTCAAGAACAAGAAACTAAACATGTTTATTATCAGATGATCCGTCTATTTATGTTACATAACTTCGATATTATCCTCCCAACTGTACAAAAGTATAGACAAACTGAGTTATCATTCAACGTTAGCCTATGTAAACCATGATAATGAAATTTACTCAATGATATCTTCACTTGATAGATTATATAATGAAACTATTCTTTATTGCATGTCTGATTATTTAAATGTGGATCTACTTTATCTTCATTATCGTTTTTTCTAACTTAAAAATTACAACTTTTATGAGCGGATGCGTGTGACACCGACGGTTTTGGGTCCTATTCTCGTGTATCGGGTCGTGGATGCACAGTTCTGA